GGCACAAAGAGCACGTCCTGCTTTAAAAGACAATTTTGACACGATACCCCTAACAACCCAATGTATGTCCTTCACTCAAAACAATTGATTTTGTCATTTGGGAGTTGTAGTTGCTAGGATTTATAGTTCGCCTACAATCAAAGAACATTCTGCACCCCACCAATGATGGAATTGAACCAAACTTGGCACACAGTTCTCCCATGACCAACAGAAAATATTGGAAGGGTTTGGTGGGCAGTGTCCTTTGGTTCTGGAGTTGTAGTTCACCTACATCCAGAGATCACTGTGGACTCAAACAATGATGGATCTGGACCAAACGCTACAAGAATACTCAATATGCCCAAATGTGAACACTGGTGGAGTTTGGGGGAAATAGAATCTTGACATTTGGGAGTTGTAGTTGCTGGGATTTATAGTTCACCTACAATCACAGAGCATTCTGAACCCCACCAATGATAGAATTGGGCCAAACCTCCCACACAGAACCCCCATGTGGGCCACAGCAACGTCTGGCAGGGGACGGCTAGTCTATATAAATAAAAATGTAATGTTCGTTTGTGGGATTAACAGAACTCAAAACCCATTGGATGAATTGACACCAAATTTGGACACAAGACACCTAACAACCCAATGTATGTCCTTCACTCAAAAAAAAATGATTTTGCCATTTGGGAGTTGTAGTTGCTGGGATTTATAGTTACCTACAATCAAAGAGCATTCTGAACTCCACCAATGATGGAATTGAACTCCCATAATCCACAGAACATACTGGAAGGGTTTGGTGGGTATTGACCTTGAGTTTTGGAGTTGTAGTTTACCTACATCCAGAGACCACTGTGGACTCAAAACAATGATAGATCTGGACCAAACTTCGAACAAATACTCAATATGCCCAAATGTGAACACTGGAGTTTGGGGAAAATACACCTTGACATTTGGGAGTTGTAGTTGCTGGGATTTGTCGTTCACCTACAATCAAAGAGCATTCTGAACCCCACCAACGATAGAATTGAGCCAAATTTCCCACACAAACCCCCCATGATTTGGGATGAATTTACAGTGATTTAGGGGAGATGTAGTGCAGGTCAATAGAATGATTACAATGAGCCATATTTGACCAATCTATATATATAAAAATGTAATGTTCATTTGTGGGATTAACAGAACTCAAAAACCACTGGAAATTGACACCAAATTTGGACACAAGACACCTAACAACCCAATGTATGTCCTTCACTCAAAAAATTGATTTTGTCATTTGGGAGTTGTAGTTGCTGGGATTTATAGTTCACCTACAATCAAAGAGCATTCTGAATACCACCAATGATGGAATTGAACCAAACTTGACACAGAAGACTCCCATGACCAACAGAAAACACTAGAAGGGTTTGGTGGGCATTGATCTTGAGTTTGGGAGTTGTAGTTCACCTACATCCAGAGACCACTGTGGACTCAAACAATGATGTATCAGGACCAAACTTAGCACGAAGATTCCATATGCCCAAATATGAACACAGATGGAGTTTGGGGGAAATAGATCTTGACATTTGGGAGTTGTAGTTACTGGGATTTATAGTTCACCTAATCAAAGAGCATTCTGAACCCCACCAACAATAGAATTGGGTCAAACTTCCCACACAGAACCCCCATGGCCAACAGAAAATACTTAAGGCCATCCAGTCCACCTCCCTTTACCAAGTCCTCCTGACAAAGAGCCATCCAGCCATAGATATAGACAGACATATATGATTCACACCCACAGAGAGATACAGTATCATAGATTAGAAAGGAACCCCTAAAGAAGGACAATGATATGTTGCATATTCCAGAGTAGGCAAACCAGACACTCTCCACATCAACACTGACAAAGAAACAAGAAATAGTTTACCCACAAGAATAAAGAAATTACATAGATTAGAAACCAACACTCTCATTAATTTTCCATATCAACAGACTAGGCCACAGCAACGCATGGCAGGGGACAGCTAGTATAATATAACATTACAAGCCGTCCCCTGCCACGCGTTGCTGTGGCCCACATAGGGGTTCTGTGTGGGAGGTTTGGCCCATCGATCATCGGTGGGGTTCAGAATGCTCTTTGATTGTATGTGAACTATAAATCCCAGCGATTACAACTCCCAAATGTCAAGGTTTATTGTCCCCAAACTCCACCAGTGTTCGTATTTGGGCATATTGAGTATTCATGCCAAGTCTGGTCCAGATCCATCATTGTTTGAGTCCACAGTGCTGTCTGGATGTAGGTGAACTGCAACTCCCAAACTCAAGGTCAATGCCCACCAAACCCTTCCAGTATTTTCTGTTGGTCATGAGAGTTCAGTGTGCCAAGTTTGGTTCAATTCCATCATTGATGGAGTTCAGAATGCTTTTTGAGTGTAGGTGAACTATACATCCCAGCAACTACAACTCCCAAATGACAAAATCATGATTTTTGAGTGATGGTCACTTCTTGTGTTGTGAGACACTTTGTTGCCAAATTTGGTGTGATTTCGTTCATTGGTTCTTTTGTTTTTAAGGTACTCATTATGCACAGAGCATTTATATATATATAGATTATATTATTTAACACAAGTTTTGTTCCTTATAAATGTCGTTTTCTAACTGGTTCCATCACTAAAACATGGAGAGACTTGACTTTATGGTTTATGTGTATTGCTGTATTGTTGTTTTATTTTCTTTGGAAGACGCCTGTGCGTGGGTTTTTTTAATGTGTGGAGGTCAGTGCACAACTGATCAACACACAGTCTTCAGAGTGAGGTTCCACTGGTGATGTAGTTTGACACAATGACCATGGCTTCTCAATCTGTTTCAGCCTTCTTCCGCCTTCACAGCCATTGTAACATGTACCATGTTATCCTCCGCCTGCTCCGCCGTTGACGTCTTTGAGTCTTCGGACTGTGCTTGGTCTGGAACCTCCCCTGCGGCCACTCCTGGGAGTGCACGACTGCAGTAGTTGTGCCCACTGTTTATAGAACTCCAGTATGCTGATGACAATGTCATCTGTGTGCATTCAGAAGATCTACAAGCCACTCTAAACAGCATACACGAAGCTTGGCCTGTCACTGAACATTGAGAAAACCAAAGTGCTGTTCCAGCAGTCACCAGCCATCCCCCCCACCCCCAATGCCAGAGATACAACTTAATGGTGTAACATTAGAAAATGTTGACCATTTCTGCTACCTTGGCAGCCACCCCTCCACCAAAGTCAACATCGACACCGAAATACAACACCGCCTGAGCTCTGTGAGTGCAGCATTTTCCAGAATAAAGCAGAGAGTGTTTGAGGACCGGGACATCCGTAGGGATACCAAGGTGCTTGTCTATAAAGCTATTGTCCTCCCAACCCTGCTCTATGCCTGCGAAACGTGGACTGTCTACAGACGTCACATGCAACTCCTGGAACGATTCCATCAGCACTGCCTCCGGAAAATCCTGCAAATCTCTTGGGAAGACAAGCGGACAAACGTCAGCGTGCTGGAAGAAGCAAAGACCAGCAGCATTGAAGCGATGGTCCTCTGCCATCAACTCCGCTGAGCCGGCCACGTTGTCCGGATGCCTGACCACCGTCCCCCGTCTTTGGGAGACCACCGTCTCCCAAAGCAGTTACTCTACTCTCAAGAATGGAAAACGGAATGTTGGTGGACAGGAAAAGAGATTTAAAGATGGCCTCAAAGCCAACCTTAAAATCTCTGGCATAGACACTGAGAACTGGGAAGCCCTGGCCCTTGAGCGCTCCAGATGGAGGTCAGCCGTGACAAGCAGTGCTGCAGAATTCGAGGAGGCACGAGTGGAGGGTGAAAGAGAGAAACGTGCCAGGAGGAAGGCGCGTCAAGCCAACCCCGACTGGGACTGCCTTCCACCTGGAAACCAATGCCTTCACTGTGGGAGAAGATGCAGGTCAAGAATAGGGCTCCACAGCCACCTACAAACTCACAAAAATAGTCATCAAGGAAGACCATTTTACTCGTCCAACGAGGGATCGCCTAAGTAAGTAAGTATTGAGGCCTTGGCCTTTGTAAGCCGCATCGAGTCCTTCGGGAGATGCTAGTGGGGTACAAATAAAGTTAATAATAGTAATAAATAAATAATAAGCTGTCCAAACTTTGTTTTTGTAGGAAATCCTACAGCATATTTTGCTCTAGTTTGGCCATGAGCATCTCATAGACCAGTGTTTCTCAACCTGGGGGTCGGGACCCCTGGAGGGGTCGCGAGGGGGTGTCAGAGGGGTCACCAAAGACCCCCAGAAAACACAGTATTTTCTGTTGGTCACGGAGGTTCTGTGTGGGAAGTTTGGCCCAATTTAATCCCTGGTAGGGTTCGAATGCTCTTTGATTGTAGGTGAACTATAAATCCCAGCAACTGCAACTCCCAAATATCAAGGTGTATTTCCCCCAAACTCTACTAGTGTTTACATTTGGGCATACTGAGTATTTGTGCCAAGTTTGGTCCAGATCCATAATTATCTGAGTCTACAGTTCTCTCTGGATGTAGGTAAACTACAACTCCCAAAACTCAAGTATTTTCTGTTGGTCATGGGAATTCTGTGTGCCAAGTTTGGTTCAGATCCATCGTTGGTGGAGTTCAGAATGCTCTTTGATTGTAGGTGAACTATAAATCCCATCAACTACAACTCCCACAGGACAAAGTCAATACCCTCCCCCAATCTGTTCCTATTCATAACAGCAGCAAAATGAGTTATGAAGCAGCAATGAAACCAATTTTATGGTTGGAGGTCACCATAACATGAGGAAGCGTATTAAGGGGTCATGGCATTAGGAAGGTTGAGAACCACTGTCATAGACTCAATTCACAGGGATCAACTAATGGCAACAGGCACGAGCTGGGAATTATTTCCCGCCTCGCGAACAGCTCTACCCAGCGCGCGACGTTTGTGGCGCCGGCGCCTCAGCGGAAGTCGTGGGCACTTCCTGGCCGTGCTGTGCTGGCTTGTCCCCGGCCCCGCCCCCTCGCCCTAGGCCCCGCCCCCTTTCTCCTCCTCCTCCCTCCGCGCTGCTGCGGCTGCCGCTTCCATCCTGGTATTTCGGAGCCTCCATCCTGGTTTCTCAAGTGCCCGGACCCAAAACAGGAAGTAAGTGATTCGCGCGGCGGTTGGCTAGGCTGCGGCGGGGCCTGGCTCCTGGCGAAGGGGAGGCCGCCTCTGTGGAGCCGGGAAGCCGCCTCGAGGCCCAGGAAAGCAGGCTTCGGGGCCTGGAGGGGCTGGCAAGGCCTGCGCCAAGGAGGGGCGGCGGGATAGGCGTCTCTCTGGCCCCCTCAGCCCTGACCTACCCCCCTTCACCTTCTCCTCGCCGGCCTCGGTTGAGAAGATTCAAGGGACGTCGTTCCCTCATTCACCCCCTTCATAGATAGCCAGACCTTTCCTTGTTCTCTTGGCCCGACTGAAGGCATCCTGGGTTTACTCATATGGTTTATTCTGGGTGTGTGTGTATGTATATCTATATCTATATATATCCGCCTTGGTATTTTTTCGTATTAGATTATTTATATAATATAACATAATGTATATATCTGCATCCGCCTTGGTATCTTTTCATAGTATATTATATAACATTATATATATAGCATTCTTGCTTATATGTGTGTGTATATATATCCGCCTTTTGTGTGTGTGTATATATGTATATATATATATATTCAGAAAAATACCATTATACTGCCTTGGTATCTTTCCATACATATATATATATATATATATATATATCTGGAAAGATACCAAGGCAGTATGTATAGATATATCAGAAAGATACCAAGGCAGGCAGGCAGGCAGGCAGATAGATATATATATATATATATATATATATATATATATGGCAGATATGTGTGTGTGTGTGTTAAATGTAATATATATATATATATAGAGAGAGAGAACACACACACACACATATATATATATATCTGCCTGCCTTGGTATCTTTCTGATATATATATATCTGCCATGTTATCTTTCCATTCTCTCTCTCTCTCTCTCTCTCTCTCTATATATATATATATATATATATATATATATATATATAAATGCTCTGTGCGTAATGAGTACCTTAAAAACAAAAGAACCAATTAACGAAATCACACCAAATTTGGCCACCCCTAAAGAAGGGCAATGATATGTTGCATGTTCCAGGGTGTGCAAACCAGACAATCTCCACATCAACACTCGCAAAGAAACAGGAAGAAATACTTTTTACCCATAAGCATAAAGACATTACATATATTAGAAACCAACCCTTTCTCATTACTTTATTTTCCAGATCACCAGACTTGGCCACAGCAATGCGTGGCAGGGGACCGCTAGTATATATGTGTGTGTGGGTGTTAAATGTAATGTGTATATATATATATAGAGAGAGAGAGAACACACACACACATATATATCTGCCAAGGTATCTTGCCATTATCTTTCTCTCTCTCTCTCTCCCCCTCTCTCTCTCTCTCTCTATATATATATATAAGAAAGATACACAGGCAGACAGACAGATAGATAGATAGATTTATTATTTATTTTATTTATTACAGTCGCTTATACCCCGCCCTTCTCACCCTGAGGGGGACTCAGGGCGGCTTACACAACAAGGCACAATTCGATGCCCGCATTACATGACAACAAAACATAACATCAATAACAATAGCAATTATAACAATGATAACGATTAACCTAAGCAGTCATTATTATCGGCGACACATCCAAAAAACCCATAAAGTAAAAGCAATTAAAACAATTAAAACAGTAAAAGCAATACAAACCTCATTGCTGGACAGCGTTTAACAGACTCATAGTTAGGTTCTACTTTCCGCACATTGTCAGTCCTATACATCTGGATTCCATATCTAATTGTCAGGATATATAGATAGATATAAATATGTTAAATCGGGGGTCCACAAACTTTTTAAACAGAGGGCCAGGTCATAGTCCCTCAAACTGTTGGAGGGCCAGATTATAATTTGAAAATAAACATGAATGAATTCCTCTGCACACTGCACATATCTTATTTGTAGTGCAAAAAAAATACTTAAAAACAATACAATAATTAAAATGAAGAACAATTTTAACAAATATAAACTTATTATTCTTTAAAAGCAAAGTGTAGGCCTGCTTTTGGCTGATGACATAGGATTGTTGCTGTTGTGTGCTTTCAAGTAATTTCAGACTTAGGTTGACCCTGAGTGAAGGCCGGGTAAATGACCTTGGAGGGCTGTATCTGACCCCCAGGCCTTAGTTTGAGGACCCCTGTGTCAAACGTTGTTAGAGAGGGAGGGAGAGAAAACACACACACATCCCTGCCTAGGTATCTTTCTGAAATAGTATCTTTCCATATTATATATATATAATATGCCATAACTCACACACACACACATATATATATCTGTCCTGATATCTTTCCATATTCTGTCTATCTTATCTATCTAATGTTACTATATATATATGATGGAAAGATACCAAGGTAGTTCAGTATTTTATATATTATTATTATTATTATTATTATTATTATTATTATTATTATATTTATTTATAGCTTGCTTTATCTCCCCCAAAGGGGACTAAAAGTGGTTTGACATAAAAGCATTAGTATACAATTTAAAATCTACAAAAAATGTAAATATGGAAATTGAATTAAACATATAGCACCAAAAAAATCACAGTTAAAAACCAGCAAAACTGTTAAAAACCACAGTACCTTCTGACTCGATTTTAAACTTCATCATCATTAAAAGCCTTCCTGAATAAAAAGGTTTTAGCCTGCCACCGGAAGGACAGCAGGGAGGGGACCATTCTGGCTTCCATGGGAAGAAGGGAGTTCCAGAGTTGAGGGGCAGCCACCAAGAATATATACTGTTCAGGTCCTACCTACCTACGTGACTGCATTCCCCCCCTGTGAACTTGCGTGGGCTCTGAGATCGGCTGGAGAGGTCCCACCTCAGTCTCAAGTATGGTTGGTGGGGACGAGGAAGAGGGCCCTTTCGGGCCTTCCAAGGAGGTTGGAAGGAAGAGATGTCAAGGAATGTTTCACGGTGTCGATAAGTAGTCTCTGGGTGTGTCTACACCATACGATTAATATAGTTTGACGCCACTTTATCTGCCATGGCTCAGTGCTATCGAATCCTGGGTGTTGTCACTTTAATGGGGTGGCAGCACTCTTGGGCAGAGAAAGTTATAAAAGCACAACTCCTATGATTCCATAGCCATTGAACCATGGCAGTTAACGTGGTGTCAAACTGCATTCATTCTACAGTTAGATGCACCCTCTGTCTAAGAAGACCATGGGGAAAGAGAAGAAAAGGTAAATGTCAGGTCTGGCCCATCAACTATTGTTCCCCATATTTTTAACATCTTCATGAAGCCGCTAGAAGAGATTTAACTCCAAAACACTCCAGTGTTTTGGAGTTAAGTGCCATCTATATCCAGATGACGTTCAACTCGTATCACTTATTTACACCTGCTTTTAAGGAGGCTGTTCAGGTCCTGAACCGTTGCTTGGCTGTTGTGACAATCTAGATGAGGGCGAACAAATTGAAATTGAATCCAGGCAAGCCTCCTGTTCAGTCAGAAGGCCAAACTGTGCTGAATGGGGTTACACTCCCCCTGGAGAGACTCGCAGCTTGGGAGTTCTGGATTCATCACTAAGCCTGGAACCCCATGTCCCAGCAATTGCCAGGGGGGCTTTTGTACAATTTAAACTTGTGCACCATGCGCCCATACCTTGGGAAATCAGACTTGGCCTTGTGCACTATGCGCCCATACCTTGGGAAATCACTCTTGTTACATCCCAGATAGACTACTGCAACATGATCTATGTGAGGTTGCGTTTGAAGACTGTTCGGAAGCTTCAGTGCTCTAATGGGTGGCAGACAGGTTCCTCACTGGAGTGGCGTACAGGTAGCATACAACCTCCCTGTTATGTCAACTCCACTGGCTGCCAGTCTGCTATTGAACACAATTCAAAGTGCTGGCATTAGCCTATAAAGCCCTAAATGGTTCCAGCTCCTTACCTGTCTGAACATATTTCCCTCTATAAGCCATCTTGGAGATTAAGATCGTCTGGGGAGGCCCTGCTCTTGGTCCCTTCGCAGGCACGGTTGGTGGGGACGGGAGACAGGGCCTTCTCAGTGGTGATCCCTTGACTGTGGAACTCCCTCCAAGTGATATTAGATCAGTCCCCTTCCTCCTGGCCTTCAGAAAGAAAGTAAAAATATGGCTATGGGACCAAGCCATTAGATAGTAATTGTAGTGCAATAAATTGATATGGAATATTTGCAATGACAACTGGAATGGCTTCGGATTACTTTCTTGGACTGCGTGCTTTTAATAATTGGCGTAATGTTTAGATGTTTTGATTCTTTGGTTTTAATGTAAATGTTTGTTTTAATTGTATGATTTTTTTATGGCGTATGTGTAAAGCCGCTCCGAGTCTCCCTCGGGGTAAGGAGGGTGGGGTATAAATGTGGTAAATAAATAAATCAACCGTTGAAATGTAATGCTGCCCATTATCCCTCCTCCTCTCTCTTCTGTTCTCACCCTACACTTGCTTGTTGGTTTTCCGTATTACATAATGCCACATTAGACATTCTGCTCTCACTCTCCACACTTCCAGTTATTCTGGCGTCTCTTTTTCTCCTCTTTCACGCCCCAGAAATCTTTCTTGAACAGAAGTGTATGGTAGCACTGCCAGTTCTTTTCTTTCTTCCCCCTTCTTTTCTTATGTCGTGAATACAGTGAATGCAGTGGGCCAATTTTGTTGCGGTCTGCACACTGAAAGGCTAAAATGGCATATTTTCATTAACGAAAATTACAAGAAAATAGTACTACCCTCAGCCACAAAAGCAAAGTTTCTGAAGTGTAACAATTCCTTTCATATACCGCACAATTAAACAGGAATCAATGCTTTCAAACTAGGAACAGGAAAAAAATTCAGATTTTGTTATGCAACAAGCAGCACTGCAGCCTTGTGCAATGGGAATTTAAGTTCTCACCCACCATATCAAAATCAGAAAGAATGCTTAGTGTGCATTTGTGAAACAACTGTCTACATTAACAACTGTACACTAGCAATTCTTTTTTTTCTTTTCTTTTTTTTT